TGAGATGCAAACTTATTGTAGTAATGCTCTAAAGGGGGAGTGACTTAGCACAGAGAGCAAAGGAAATATGTTATGTGTTGTTATGTATGTTATGAGCAGTTAATACCCAATAGAAGTAAAACTCTTTTAAGGCCAAAGGGTATATTGGTCTTTCTCTAATTGATAATAATAATGGTGTTGTAATGTGCAGCTATCTGTTTTACTTCTTACTGATAAGGCCCATGATGATAATATGAAGGTTATAGAGCATAATAATTTGAGCAGTGTAGTTAATTTAATCTCCCTTTAAAGAAGTAAAGATTTTGCATGCTCTCTCTCCCTTTTTGCGCATATACAGTCAAACAGTTATTCCCTCTCACCTAAACAAAATAAACTGTATAATTAACAAAGAAGCTTGTTTTTGTTTTGTCACTTTGGTAATTACGAAAAAAAAAGAGGCTTACATTATAGCCATAGTTCCGTGTGTTGAATAATTAATGTATTTAAAAAGGTGTGAGAGTTTGTACGCAGTCTGTGGGAACCGCTCGGGCTATGAATAAATAATAAAGTTCCATAAAACATTACAAAACTAGCCTGAAAAGTTAGTGGCTCATTTGCACCATGGCAGGAGAAGCCTAGTTTTTCACTGCAAGCGGAGTAACCCATAATACAGCTGGAACGCTTCAAGCCTCTCTGTTTTTCTATCACGGATAAACCCCATTCACTTTCTCCCTGATGGCGTCTTCTTTAAACTAGTTTTTGTTGAGATGGAAGTGCGTGCTAGTTCAAGACAGCACCGCTCCAATTTTTGTAGTGCGGCTCATGTCCCAAATGGTCCAAGCTCCAGGACACGGCTTAATGACAAGAATGTAGCACTGTGTAACGTTAGTGATTATAATATGAGTTTGGATATATATTGTCCATAGGATCTCTTTCTGCATGTCCTAAAAGTGAAACTCAAAAAAGGTGTTGGCATAGCAGTTACTCCTGCCTCACAACATAAAGATCCGGGGTTTTATTACATGTCTATGCAAGTTTCTACTGGGATCATTAAAGGTCCTGTACTGCATTACACAAAATTGACTCTAGTGAGCTTTAACTATTTGTCTGTCTACATCTCCAAAGCTCAAAATGTTCTGTTCCACCTTGTGATGTCATGAATCGATAGTTTTCAAGTTAACAGCTGACTTTTACAGTTCATTCAGCAGGGATTGGTTATTCCAGAGATGAAATTTTCCAAATGATTCTAGTGAATTATATAAAGTGGAGCTCTTCCTGTATCACCACATGACATCACAAGGTGTTTTAAATATGCAAGATTTGTGTGCTAAATGTGTGTGTGAATGAAACAAAACACAACTCTGGATATGTTTGTGATGAGGAGACAACATCGTAACAGATCAGAGAATAGCTTTTTATAAACCCAAACCCAAACAAATACAGAATTGTAGTGAGAGGAGGAGGAGATGAGGAGGCTGATGATTCTACTGCAGGATGAAGCCAAGGAGGGTTGCAGACTGTACAGCTGAAAAGCACAATGGAACAAAAAGTGCTTTTATATGAATTGTCTAAGAAGTGATGGATAGAGAGAATAGCCTGCTGTGATAGAAGAAAAAATATATAGAAAATGAATTCATGCTTGTTTTGTTAATTAACACTCAGGACACTTATATCTCGGTATTTAGTATTAGTTTATTTAGTATTAGTATTTACTGTTTGCATCAAACACTATGTTGTATGTTTTTTCCATAGACTTATAACGGACAGATGCAGTTATCAGTGTTTGCACTGAATGCTCCAAATTCACCTAAAAACTTTGTTAATATTCAGTGCAGCACATTCCCCACACATAGACAATCTCAGACACTTGCAAACCACCTTTCAGTTGTTAGAAGATTTCCATTATACTTGACCTGTATGCTAATCACAAATGCTAATTATTGATTTTGCAAAATTTAACTTACAATATGAAGTTTGTTTTAAAATGCAGCTGTACTTTTAGTTTCTTATTTTAAGTGCAGAGTTGTTTTTTTTAATGCTTTTTTGTAAAACAAAATGTGTTTTTCTATTTTAAAGATGCACTGTGTAACTTTTTTTGGTGGAGGTTCCATCAAATGCTTTGAGATGTTTGTCTGGAATGTTTCACAGTATGGTATTAAACCTTTCTATCATCATGGAGATCAAGCCAGGCCAAGTTACAGGTCAGATCTCTGAAGTGGCAACCCTGGTCACAATCAGAATGTCTGTCTTGGTATATTTTAGCAGAAAACCATCTGTAATTGAATAAATGTAAGATACAGCTGTCTAAAGTCATACTGTGGAACATTCCAGGCAGAGCACATATCCATAGAAAGCAGGTGATAAACCCCCAACCAAAAAGTAACATGCATATTAAGTAAGAAAAGTGGTTCCAGTGGTAGATAAGTTTAGCCAGGTTGGCACCATGTAGTGCCTCCGCTCAATTTCATGTCTCTCCAGCGACTAGGTCAGGAATCGGAATACAGTAGATGGTTTGCAAGAACCCCAGAAGTTGTAGACCTTGCACCGGCCAATCAGCGAAGAGCTGTGAAGCCATGACTGGGTCCCTTTTTGTGGTACAGCCCAACAGTAAACAAAGCGGTCAAGATGGATGTAGACGAACATACATTCTGTGTTGGCAACGATTCCTGAGATCGAGGCTGGAACAAAAAGAGAATGTTTGGTGAATTTTATCAAGGGGAAAGATGTTATTGTCCTTCTTCCTTACAGGATATGGGAAAAGCTTTATATACCAGTTTAATATACCAGTTAGCCCTGTTAGCGGCACATTACATATGTCACAACCAAATAGCAGCGATTGGTTAAATTTTAAAAAAAAAAGTACCCATCTACTGTCGAGCAACAGAATTCTAATGCAGCGAGGTCAGACGCTTTCCACAAAGTGAAACTGGCTGATGAATTTAGACTAAGATAATTGTACTTATCATGTGAAATTTACTCAAACCAAGATTACTTTTTCTTAAATCAAGTCATTTTAACTTCTCTAGAGTTCAGTATTTGCAGTGCATGACTGTCAAAAAGCAATAACATATGTCCAGTGCTATCTGTTAACTCCCCCTTTAAAAACAGTGCAGCTTGGAAATGGACACAGCATAATGACAAATTGTATTACCAAAACACTGACTCACAGGAAGACCAGAACAGCCCACATTCACACATGCCCACAGAGCTAGCGGATCTACTGTTACTCCAGCCCAAACAAACCCAAACAGACTAACAGCACACACATGGAAGAGCATATGCCTGTGCAGACTGACTGAAAGAAATGCAGATGGCTGGTTTGTGGCTGATCTGATTCTGGTCGGATCACTGGCTCTGGGACAAAGTCGAGGATAGGTTTGTGGAGATCAAAGCATGAGCGTTCATTGTCCCCCCGGCCGCCCCCAAGAAACACTTTGTGCAGGTGGAGTAAACCGCGTGTGAAGACTGTTAACATGAGCCAATGAGGGGTGCAGCAGATGTGTGCCAGTCCATGTGATTCCAAATATTACCCAGAGGAAAACAGCAGAATGTTTTTGTGTTTTTCACTGCTACAATTTTGTCTGTGTTGTTCTTTATTCGATTGTGTATAACTCTGTCCCTAAAAGAACATGTTATCTTGTGCCATTGACATATGTAAATAACACTTGAACAAATAGTTTAAGAATGATTCAAGCTTAATTAATTAATATTCTAACCCTAAACCCTTAGGCCCCATCCACACTAGTACATATTCAAGTCGTTTTCGTTGTGGATGCAGTGTTCGTCCACACTAATCTGATTGAAAGCGGCTCCAGAGACAGAACGATCTGGTGCCGCCAGCTCCCACGAATTCATTTGAGTATGGATCTGATCCAGCACTGTGTGGACACCTGAAAATGCTGATACACTGATAGGCTGATGTAGGTCTATGCGCCGTGTATAGTAATTCACCTCCAAAATGCTAAGAGGCTAGAATATATATCCATTCATATATATGGCCTATGCGTATGACCTGCAGACGTATAATCTCGGAAAAGTTTAACATGAACCATCTCTAATGCAACAGAAGCACAGAACAGACTCACCATCAACAGAACACCCCTCTGTCACAGAAAGAACACATATATCCACTGAGTCATGTCCTTTAGTCAGACAGAAGCTGAACCACATCAGCGCAAAATAGCATGCTGTTTTCTGAGCACTCAGTTTATGCAAATTAGCCATGTGGTTGTAAAACGAATGTGCTCAAAGCTGTGTGGATAAGGAAGGATTTCGGACACAGAAACAATGTGTCTGGATGCAGATCATTTCTGATACAGTGATACGTTCATACGGTGATTTGTTTCAGTGTAAACGTAACCTTAAAAGTGCATTTTGTAACTGTCATGGTGGAGGATCTGTTACCATGGAGATGTTGCTTTGCCTGAAATTGTTCACAGTATGTTATTAAATTTATGTATTTCCATTGGAGACAAATAACAAGCCAATTAAAAAAAAACAAAAAAAAAAAACACCTATAATTAAATTAAGTAAGTTTAATGCCATATTGTGGTACATTCCAAGGAAAGCAATCCCCTTAGCATATCTCCATGGACACAACCAGGTCCTGGACTCTTACAAGAAAAGTTGCATATTGCAGATTTAAAGCTACATCGGATCTGTACGTTTATTCTTTTTTTTTTGTTTGTTTGTTTGTTTTTTTCACCTGCAGATGGCTGAAGTGAAGTGAGAACAACACCCAGTCTAATTACAAATGGCAGCTTTATTCAAGTAGTTGTCTCAAGTAGAGTTTTAATAACTACTTGATAATTATGAAGTAATTATTCATGCTTAATGCTTATTATTCTCAATTTGATTGTATAATGTAGAGTAATTTTATATTGTATAAGAAAATGTTACCTTGAAGTGTATCTAATGTGTTCAATATAGATTCAAAGTTATGTCAGCTGGATTACTTCTCTGCCTACAGGGAAACTTCAAACTAGAAACTTTTATATTACTAAAGTCATATTTTGTTGCAGCTGGAGGCCCTGCGGTGGCGCACAGGAGACCCCTCTCTGCCTCAGTCCGTCTGCAGTCTGCCATGTCGCGCCGGTGAGAGGAAGAAAGTGGTCAAAGGCTCTCCGTGCTGCTGGCACTGTGAGCGCTGTGAGGGCTACCACTTCCAGGTAACTACAAGCTCAGGAATATGCACTGTAGATTGTAATTTTTATTTTATTTTTTATATTCTGATTTGTTGTAAACCTCAATGCTTTTCAATGCAAAGTGAGAGTGAACTAGATTTCACGCTTTGATCTATCTAACCAAAGTTTGGAGTGACGTCAGCCAATTGTAAGCTGACTTTCTTTCGTTGTTTTCACTGTGTCCCTCACTGCACTTTAAATCAATGTATTTTTACCACAGTGTCACACATGCATTGTCATGAATATTAATACATTTAAAGGTGCACTATATTACCTTTTTGGTGGAGAGTTTACTATTCACTACCTGCTTATCTTCACGGAGATGCTATGGCAGGTGACACTATTACAATTTACTACTTACTACTAATTACTACTACAATTTACTGGTCAGATCTGGAGCGGTGACTTCCCCAACCCCTTAGTAAGTATTTGTTGTTGCGCCACAACCTCAAAAGTTTCATAGTGCACCTTTATATCTTAATATGTGTCTACTAACATAAAACTACCTATGGTTAAATTCCACATATAACAGAGGCAGTGTTTCTGAGTCCATGAGTGAGAAAACTTCTCTGCAGAATAAGAGTGTTTTTTAGTAGAATCAGCAGCAGCCTAGTCTATACCTAATCAATAGTCATTTTACAGATAATGTCCCTAAACATGTTTACTGTACTGTTCAGATAAAATAAACTAAATTGGGACGAAAAAGCAACATTCCAGCAGGTGTAGGGAACTTGTAATGAGAAAGATAACACAGTATGGCTAAACTGTGGACAATTCTGGCCCTAAGCTCCTCGAATAAATGGGGTAAGCCAATTAACAGAGACTAATGGATTTAGTGGTAGAGAGTGAATTAGCCAGATCTATACAAGACTAAAGGAGTTATCTGTCATGTCTGATCTGCTATCTCACTTCTAATTACATTCAAATCCCGATAACATCAGTTCAAACTCTTTCCCAAGCACCAAGTTTAGAGGCAGTTGTAGAGTTGTAGGAGTACCAGTAGAAGAAGAAGTAGAAGTAGATAAAGTGTATCTGTTTTACTTTTTATGTTACAATGACCAGTATCTCCTTTTCTAAACACATTATAACTGCATTTTCAATGTCTAATCTAAATGTTTTAAGGGGAAGTATGTTATTTGATTACCCCTGTCGTACATATTAATTAATTAAACCATGGCAAAATTGGTAGAAAAATCAGCTCCTAAAATCAGCAAGCCTAATGTATTAGATAGAAAAGAGACACACACCAGAATATTACAGCTCTGGAATTCACAATCTCTGCTGAATTAACAGTAAAAAGGTAGTTGTTAACTTGAAAACTACTGCTTCATGATGTCACAGTGTGGAAGACAGCATTTTGAGCTTTGTGGATGTACAGACAGACTAATAATGCAGCGTTACTCAAACATGTGTGAATGAAACAAAACACAATTCTAGGTAAATGGTGTAGCATAAAATTTTGGACCCTGGATACAAATCATCATGCTGGGCCTGCACTACATGTTGTCTAATGAAAAATGCACATTACAGACTTATGGGGGAGGAAGTAACAATATTCTGACATGGCTTAAAGATCACTAATGGCATAATATTTATTTATTTTGGGGTATTTAACTATGACTGAACATTTGGAATATATTTTTGCTCTTATTCAGATTAGTGTTGTGATCATTTAAACATGTCCAGGAGCATGAACATTTGAGAAAAAATTCATGAATCACATGCATTTCAGAACGTGTTTAGTGAGGATTAAACTACAGGGTTAGCAGGATTTATAAATTGGCCACACAGGATATTCTGTTTGTACAGGAAATTACTTAAAAAATATTTGAGATTTGGTAATTAAGTTCAATTAATTAGCTATTTCAATCCAATTTCTCTATATCTTTGCGCTCTATCTCTGACCTCTGACCTCTCTCTACCCCAGGCGTCTGAGTTCACCTGTGAGCTGTGTCCCTATGAGAAGAGGCCTGATGTAAACAGGACTGGCTGTGTGTCCATCCCCATCATTAAACTGGAGTGGCACTCCCCCTGGGCCATTATCCCCATGTTCATCTCCATGTTGGGGATCGTCGCCACCTCCTTCGTCATGGTCACTTTTGTCCGCTACAATGACACGCCCATAGTCCGCGCGTCCGGCAGGGAGATGAGCTACGTGCTGCTCACTGGGATATTCCTGTGTTACGCCATCACGTTTTTGATGATCGCCACGCCGGATGTGGAGTGTGTGTTCTCTGAGGAGGATTTTTTTGGGACTGGGGATGTGTTTCAGCTACGCAGCGCTCCTCACCAAAACCAACAGGATACACCGCATCTTTGAACAGGGGAAGAAGTCTGTGACAGCACCAAGGTGAGCTGACTATATCTTATAATTTGGATAAGAATTATAAGGTTGGATTTAATTTATCTTATCTATTTTGGCAAAGTTGAGTTATTCATACCGTCATGTTTGTGAATATCTTACACTTGTATCAGTATTTTGCTGGATTTGGCCTTTTTAGGGTTATATGAGTAAAAACATATTTCATTTCAGTCCATTGTGCTTCAGCTTAAAGCTCCAATAGCTCAGAAGTACACAGAATGCAAATAGAACCATATAATTCTAAGGGATGAAAGGTAAAAAGAATCAAAAGTACATTTACTTGAACAGATAATAGGTAAACTCATAGTAGAGTAGATCCGAGGATGAGACATATATCAAGGCACAATGGAATTCACAACAAGAGTCTGAGCTTAGAACCAGAGGGGTCTTTCTGTGTGGAGTTTGCATGTTCTTCCCATGCATGTTCAGATTTCCTCTGGGTGCTTCCCTGACTCCTAAAATAATGTTCAGCTCATATTATTATTTTACTTTTTTTTTTTTTTTTTTTTCAAAGAATGTCACAAATGGCATAACATTTACTTACTGTTACATTTTAGACAGTGGTCTGTTTACTGATTTGATGATTCCTTGGTTACACAAAGATCCCAGTGTTTGTGTTTGTGAACTGTCTGCTGTCTGAATGTGGAGCACACAACATCAGCTTTAGATCTCATCCTTCTCATGGTGACTTTGTCAGACAATGTTTTTTACAATGACAATCTCTGGCATGTAGTATTCACCTGTCCATCATCGACCTCTATTATAAACTATAGGTCGTGGTATCTTCTGTGCCCCTGGGCTGTGTTCTGTGTTTTTCACCTGTACACAGGCAGTCACCTTTGGGTGCTGCTTACTAAGGCCTGGTGTCATTATTTGTCATTATTTTACTGCATTATTTATAGAGGTCTGGACTCACACTCACCTTTGGTTCTGTTTGTACTTAGCTGCTGCTCCTGTCCTGGTCTCTGTGTGAGTGCTTTAATGTTAACACAGCATTTGTGTAAATGCTTACAAACCATATTGACATGGCCAGTTGTTTTTACACCATTGTTTATACATCAAATCTGGATGTTCTTTATGATGTATTTTCAGCGAAAACACATCCCATATAGGTTCAAAGCAGTGAGTAGCATTAATGCTGTCAAGTGGATTCCTAACAGTATCAATGCCCACTGCCATTATGTCCTTGAGCAAGACACAACACATATTCTTTTCCGCTGTGGTATATAAATATACATGTTGAAATGTTAGACATGTAATTTGTTTACTAATTCCATTCCCAGGTTCATCTCGCCTGCCTCCCAGCTCGTCATCACCTTCTCCCTGATCTCGGTGCAGTTGCTGGGAGTGTTTGTGTGGTTTGCGGTGGACCCTCCTCACACAGTGGTGGACTATGGAGAACAGAGGACCCAGGACCCCCTATCTGCACGGGGGGTCCTTAAGTGTGACATCTCCGACCTGTCCCTCATCTGTTCTCTGGGCTACTCCATCCTGCTCATGGTCACCTGCACAGTCTACGCCATCAAAACCAGAGGAGTACCTGAAACCTTCAATGAAGCCAAGCCCATTGGATTTACCATGTACACCACCTGCATCATCTGGCTGGCCTTCATCCCTATTTTCTTTGGCACATCGCAGTCAGCAGAAAGAGTAAGTCATTCTGTTACTGTTACAAATGCCACTTGTTTTTTGCAGTCTCAAGAACATATGGAAGCACAGGATTCAAAGCAAAACATGATGTAAAACGGGATGTAACAGTAACTGAATTATCGTGATATTGTATCATCAAAGTTCTCAGGATAATATCATGGACCATCACAATATATTGAATTACAAGATTCTTCACTTAAATTAATAGTTATAGTGCAGCAATAGTTAAAAACAGAGACAAATACATAGACCGTGATCCTTTGCTCCATTTCAGTGCAGACTTCATGAAGAAACTGTTGTTATAAGCACTTTTAAATCTTAATTCTTTGGATTAATTCTAGTCAAGGCATTTTAAGAGGAAAAAGTAGCATAGTCAGAGTTTTGTTAGTTTCCACAAAATATCATAATAAAGGTCATACTGTGAGATGTATATTGTGAAAATATAGTACCAGTGGTGGAGTTAACAATTTGCGGGTCCTAGGCAAACTTGAGTTTGGGGCCATCAATATAATGTTTTGTTGTTTGTTTGTTTTTTGTGTGTATTTTTTGAAAATATTTATTGTCTGTTTTTCCCCATTGTTCTTGAGACACGCACACATTTAAATTAGGGTGGATTGGAAACTTGTCTTATTAGTTAGGAAGCCTACTAGATAGCCAGAGCTGAAAGTGTTTGTTTTTTTTTTTTTTTGTTTAGTTTTTTTTAGCTAGTACAATTATATTTTGTTTACATCCATTACATATAATCATGATTATGCTATGATCATGTTCAAATCAGGGTCAGGCTGACCAATCCATTCTAATGTGAAAGGGGTGAATGCTTTGACAGTTAAAATGGATTTGACAACCACTCTCATTTAATGTCATACTGAGAGAAAATCAAATTGCTCCAAGGCCTCGGCCATTAGCGGTAAAAGCAAGGGCAATTGTTTAGGGGCCCCTCCAGGTTTGGGGGACCTAAGTTTGCCTAATGGTAGGGTCTCCTCTGTGGTGTACCAAGATATTTGGATATCGTTACATTCCTAATAACTACACAAGAGATACTGACTGCTTAGTGATTAAGTGTGTTTTTTGTTGGTTTTTTTGGCACCTTTTAGTGGGTGAAATTAAGTTGTATCCAGTTAACATTTATAGTTTAGTTGATTAATTTTCAATGAAATAAAGGCACATGAATAAGCCAAATAGTAATGATGCTTGTATAAGGCTATTTCAGTTCAAGAGCATTACGTGGCCAGTACATGCTGTTGCATATGCAGAAATACAGGTAGATTTTGACTCGGTTCATCATAATTGTTCTACTTGATTGCAGTGTATTAATGTAGCAAATATAGCACCACTTCCATTGCCGTTAACAATTTAAAAACAAATATTTAATCACCTGAATTGGGAAGTCCTTAAAATGGTGACTGTAAACAGGCAGCTAAGTCCATGGAATTAGAATCATTTCACAGTTTGGAAATCTTTGTGTTCAGACAAAGAGTTCAAACAGTGGCTTTGTTTACAAGCACACCGACATTTTTATCTGATTTTTAAGATGATTTGAAATGCAAAACGCAAAATCTGATGTGAATGATCAGAGGGACAATGATCCAAAAGAAATTACATGATTTTGCTGTTTAATGTGATTTTAATAGTGTTATAACTCAGATTTTGAGCATGCATGTAATTGCAGTCAGTACCATAACGTCACTCTCTCACTCTCTGCCTTTCAGAAGTGCCGTTGTTTTGATTTGTGTTTTAAATCTAAATAAGTAAGACTGTATTCATAGAGCACCTTTCACAGATAAAAAAAAAAGAGTTTTACAGAGTACAATAAACAACACAGATGAGATATAAAACCGAGATTACAAACGCGCTCAACCAAAAGCTTGTCTAAATAACAGTGTCTTGAGCTGAGAATTTATTGAATTAATTTGTCCATGTGCTATAGTGACAACTTTGTGTCTCATTCTTCATAGTTATTGTGATTTCTGCATCATGTGTTATTTTTCCATCTAAGAAACAGCATACTACACAACTCAGCTTTATTTTTATATGTATCATTTTCTATTTCATGAATATAGCCAACCATATGTCTTTTACATTATTGCCGCGCTCTATCTGACCCCAAAGGATTTCAAAGCAATTTTCTTTGACATTACTGGAAAAATGATTGCATGAATGTGTTTTCTTCAATTGGACAGTATAATGGATAAGTGCACTCCATAAACACAGCGATTTACCATATTTGGACATTTTTGATGACATATATAAGTGCAAAATCACTTTCACACTGCCACAATTCGCCCCTGTGCGGGATTTGATGATATCATTTCCCAGCACCCTTGGGTTTCTTGAGCACATTTCGCAATAATATTATGTTTTTGAGATATGTTTTAAAGGTGCATTGTGTAACTTTTCTGGTGGTGGGTCCTTCAAATATTTTTTTTCATCGAAATGCTATTGTTTACTCTGGACTGTTTCACAGTATGATGTTAAACCTTTCTATCTTCATGGAGACCAAACCAGACCAAAGTTACAGGTCAGATCTGTGGAGATGCAGCCCTGCTCACAGTAAGAATGATTGTTTTTCTAGGTATTTTTAAGCTTTAATACCACCTGTAATTGAAAAAAAATAAGGAGAACTGTTTAATAATCTCATATTGCGGAACATTCCAGGCAGTGTGACGGACACCACAAGCAACTTTAAAGAGGAAAAAAGGAAAACCTTAAATTGTTTCACTGTAAAGATTTAAACTGCTTCTCTTGGCTCTTCTGATGCAAGCTTTACAAATCTACAGTAAAAGAGTCTAAAATGCGTAGGATCCCTGTGAGGAGGTTTCTCTGTCTGTTTGATTGACTGCACTGGTGTTTTGGTCCAGAGCTTTTAGGCAGGAGGCACGTCGATCGTTTTGCTTTTTTTACCTTTGCTCAATAATTGATGTGAAGTGAGTGAGATGTAACACTGAGAAGGGGCTCTGTGGAGATGTGTTCTTCTCTTACAACAGACAGCCTGCTTTCCTCAAATGGAGTACATGGTTTGACTTCAGATGGGCATCTTTCTGGGGCTTACAGATAGCTTTAAGTCAAATGTTTTAGGTTTGGTTTCAATGAATGAATAACTTGTACGTGATATCTTTATCTTCCCCTTGATTTTATTCTGATGTAGTAACCATTGCAGTCGTTTGTCCTTCATACTATACGTCTGTATAACCCATCCCTGTAGCTGTTGAATGAATCCTAGAGGATGGACTACTGTGTTATTTCATTGTTTCAACTATCTAAGCAATCACAACATGACTGTGACTAAATACTAATATAAAGAAAATAAAATAAGACTGATAACTACACTTGTAACAATGAACAAATATTTACTTACCGTATTTTCTGACTATAAGTCGCTCCAGAGTATAAGTCGCACCAGCCAAAAAATGCGTAATGAAGAAGCAAAAAACATATAAGTCGCACAACAACAGAACATAAGTTTACCAATCTCTCGATCTCACTCCAAATCACTAAATCCATTGAATTCTTCATCCCCGGTGTCACTTCTGAGCAACTTCGCGCAACTTCGGTTGTCACTGAAGTCCAGGCATGGTGCACCCTCCTGGTTAACGTGAAGCTGTACTCCCCATTCCCGCTTTTTGCCAGTCCCTCACAAGTTTCTCGCTCACTCCAAATTTTCTTTCTGTTGCTCGATTACCATTTTTGGCTGCACATTTCACTACCTGCAACAGGACAGTAGCTTCTTCTGCAGGAGACGTGCGCAGAAAACTGACACACAAGCCTAGTGTGTCCTTTCATGGCTGTCAGTCTGAAAAATGTAATATATAAGTCACACCGGAGTATAAATCACAGGACCACCCAAACCATGAAGAAAAAAAAATGCGATACAGTACAAAAGCTCACAAAATGTATTCTTGTGAGCTTTAACTCATGTTATAATGATGGTACCTCATCAAAAACAACATAACTGGTTGTCATAGTGTGGTCTGAGTACCACTGATGATAAGAAGGTTTTATGTAGTTTGACCAAGCAATTTCTCAACATAAAATTCAATAAGAGACCCATACTCTAAATGAAGTTGTTGCTAACTTTGCTCGTCAGCTTTTACCTGATAAATAATATGGGCATATTCACATTCAATAGTTGTTCAGTACTTTGTCTGTTTTCTTCCTGTACCTCTCATTTAAAGAATACACAGAGAATGCAGTTTTATGATGTGTTGGTTCAGATTAGATGGAGGTCAATAATTTGGCCAGTAGGATTTTAATTATTTTCTTTATGTCCATAATAAAACACACTCACATTGAACTGCACATGTACTTATCTCACTTCCTACATTCCACATTCCGTCTATGGACATAAAGACATTCTCTCATATCTGTAAAACCTCCCATCAGATACACTGTATGAGATGGGTAAGTGTGGCAGATGGAGAGATGTCCTCTCACCCTATCACTTTGAAAATGGCAACCGCTAATCTGATGTGAATCACCGGGAGATACCTAAGACAGTGTGAAAGCGTCCTCATCCACATTCAAAACAGGGCGCTGATTGCAGATATGTGAGGGACTGTTAAGCTCCTGTATCTTACCCACATGTGCAAATATGAAGATAAAGCATGATGTTTTGGCATGCTTACAAAGACTAGAGCAGGGTTTTATCAGTCTCACTGTGAAATAAGGTCCAGTAATACACCAAGACTGTGATATGTAAATACAGGTTTATCAACTTAAATGTAAAAGTACGATAAATGAGGTTAAAGCAACTCAAAATGGCTTCACCACTTATTATTATATTACTTATTATAATTGCAACCACTTATGTTTTGGTTTTATTACTGCAACAGTGGCACAGTGAGTTAAACACTGACCCACTTACTATGAGGTCATTCATTTAAACATCCAGCTGTTGTTATAAAGGGACAACACGCAAAACAGTTCAAAATATAATAGCATCTATTGTCCAAAGTGCTTCTCATTTGTATAATTATTCACTGTGGCTAACATTGTAACCTACT